AAAGGGATGGTGGAGGTGGAAAGGGATGGTGGAGGTGGAAAGGGATGGTGGAGGTTGGAAGGGATGGTGGAGGTGGAAAAGGTTGGTGGAGGTGGAAGGGATGGTGGAGGTGGGAAGGGATGGTGGAATTGGGAAGGGATGATGGAGGTGGGAAGGGATGGTGGAAGTGGGAAGCGATGGCAGAGGTGGGAAAGGCTGGTGGAGGTGGGAAGGGACCTCTGGCATGTCCTCATGGCACATCCTGGTGCCCGGGGTTGTTCCTCCCCAAGGGCAGGACTGTCCTCCTTGTCAATCCTTCCGAGGTTCCAGCCAGCCTGTTTCTCCAGGCCAGGAAGGTTCCTCTGGATGGCGGCAGCACCCGGAGCTTTCCCAGCTGGCTCTACGTTCCCAGTCGAGGGTGCATCCGTTCCTGCTGCTCCCGTGATTTCTTGTCCTTCACCCCCTTGGTGATGTGCTCCAAGGATTGAGGGGAGCCCGACTGGAGCTTCCCAGATCCTCCTTCATGCCTTCCAGGTGTGACATCGTCCTCCTCCCAGCTCCCAGGAACCGGCCACCGTGTCCCTTCAAAAGAGGCGTCATCGGCCTTCCTCGGCACCCCTGCCCTCATCCCACCACATCCGTGCCTTATCCCTTTCCGAGAGGCCTCATCCATCAAATCCAGACGCCGGCCTGGCACCGGGACCACCGAAACCAGCACCTGGGGAAAACCATCCAGGAGGAAAAACGCGGAAGATCCAAACCAAGCAAATGCCCGAAGGCCGGAAGGCCCAGGAGGGATGGGTTGTCCTCCCTCGCGTGGAATTGTCTCCATCCCACTTTTATCTTCCCGGTGGACACCAAGCAGGGTTGGAGCACGTTGGTGGCTCTCGTGGCTACAGGCCAAAACCTCTGGAAAGACTCTCTCCACCTCGGGATCATCGCCTTTGCCGAGTGGGAGGTGCCGCGAGTCCCGGCGCGGGACTCTGCGGGAATCGGCGGATTCCAACGCCGGGAGTGGCGTTGGAACATCCAAGAGGAAATCAGTCGTCTCGGAGGGAGATGGTGACGAGGGTCTGGTAGGGCTGGGACACCTCCCGTGGAGGCACCGGGAGCATCCCGCGCCGAGCCAAGCTCCTTTCCGGGGATCTCCAAGGCTCTGGATGATGGGAGGGGGCGGATCACCAGGGAGCCCCAGAGGAAAGATTCCGAGAGGAGGTTTTTCCAGAGGTGGGGCCGGAGACCATCAGCGGTCCCGGCACTCACAACATGTCACCGCAGACATCCCGAGGCCCTCGGACATCCCAGAGCCCTCAGATATCCATCTGTGGTCTCCATTCCCATGGAATTGTCTTCTCTCTCCGGGCAGCGGTTTGGGAATCCTCAGCAAACACCAGCCAGTGCTCCTCCGTATCCCGTCTTCCGTTGGCATCAATGGTGCCTCCACGGCTTTGGGATTCATCCATACCTTGATCCACCAGCTCATCCCTATCCTTCCCTGGCATCCGCCGTGCCCGTGACTTCCGGGGGATCTCCCGCTCCCACCTCCGGAGGGCGGATCGGCCGCGTCGCCGTCGGGAATTCCTTGGCCGCCGCTTTGGGAATGTGGCGGAGGGTCATATGGAATTCCCGCCGTGGTGCTTCTTCCGGCTGAAACCGGGCCTGGAAAGACCCCGAGTTCTTCCGCTCCCGGTTCACGACCTCTCACGGGATCCACGAGCCACCGACATTCCCGTTCCCTCCCCAAATTCCTGGCTGGGGGGAGACGGAGAAGAATTCCACGCGCCTCCGGGAGGAAGAGGGCGATCCCGCGGAGCTGCCGGTGCCTTCGCACACCAACCAACATTTTGGGGCCAAACCAGGGGATCCCACCCTGAAATTCGGAGGCAGGGGGTGGCACCGGGGTGGCTCTGGCGTTTCCGTGGGGGCCTGGAAGTCTTGGATTTTGTGGGAGGGGGGATATTTTCCAGCCCGGGGGTGCTCCGTGAGCTGCCGGCTCCTTTCGGGGGGACGTCCCATCCCACCGGGATTTATCATCACTGATAAAGAGGGAAGCGGGAGGGGAGGAGGTGATGGATAATCCCTCGGGATGGAGAGGGAATGGGAGGGAAAGGAACACAGTGGAGGGGAAAAGAAGGGATCAGGGGCTGGAAAAAAAACCCCAAAATGGTGTTTAAGGGCTTTTTCCATCCGGTGTAGGAGGCGAATCCAGAGGGAGGGGGGCTGTGGGTGTTGGCAAAGCTGGTCCCGCCCTAAAGGGGCTCAGAGGGGGATTTTGGGGGCTCCTTGGAGGTTGGGGTGGGGGTCTGGGGTGGGGATTGGTGGGATAGGGATGCCACAAGCTGTGGGGGTGGAAAACTGGGAATGTTCAGGGGTGTGGGGATGCAGGAAAGCTGGGGATGCTCAGGGGTTTGGGATGCAGGAAAGCTGGGAAAGATCAGGGTTTTGGGATGCAGGAAAGCTGGGAAAGATCAGGGTTTGGGATGCAGGAAACTGGGAATGCTCAGGATTGGGGATGCAGGAAACTGGGGATGCTCAGGGGGTTGGGATGCAGGAAAGCTGGGAAAGATCAGGGGTTTGGGATGCAGGAAACTGGGGATGCTCAGGGTTTGGGATGCAGGAAAGCCATGAATGCTCAGGATGGTGCTCAGGGTTTGGGATGCAGGATGCTGGAGATTCTCAGGGCTTTGGGATGCAGGAAACTGGGAATGCTCAGGGTTTGGGATGCAGGAAAGCCTGGAATGCTCAGGATGATGCTCAGGGTTTGGGATGCAGGAAAGCTGAACATTCTCAGGGCTTTGGGATGCAGGAAAACTGGGAATGCTCAGGATTTGGGATGCAGGAAAGCTGGGGATGCTCAGGGTTTGGGTTGCAGGAAAGCCTGGAATGCTCAGGATGGTGCTCAGGGTTTGGGATGCAGGATGCTGGAGATTCTCATGGCTTTGGGATGCAGGAAACTGGGAATGCTCAGGATTTGGGATGCAGGAAAGCTGGGAAAGATCAGGGTTTGGGATGCAGGAAAGCCAGGAATGCTCAGGATGATGCTCAGGATTTGGGATGCAGGAAAGCTGGACATCCTCGGGGCTTTGAGATGCAGGAAAGTCAGGAATGCTCAGGATGATGCTCAGGGTTTGGGATGCAGGAAAGCTGGACATTCTCAGGGCTTTGGGATGCAGGAAAACTGGGAATGCTCGGGATTTGGGATGCAGGATGCTGCAGATTCTCAGGGCTTTGGGATGCAGGAAAATGAGAATGCTCAGGATTTGGGATGCAGGAAAGCTGGGAAAGATCAGGGTTTGGGATGCAGGAAAGCCTGGAATGCTCAGGATGATGCTCAGGATTTGGGATGCAGGAAAGCTGGACATCCTCGGGGCTTTGGGACGCAGGAAAGCCGGGAACGCTCAGGGGTTTTGGGACCCTCCCGGAGCCATCCCAACCTTGCCCCCACGGCTCCCAATTTTTTTGCTCGGTGCCCTTTCCTCGGGATCATCCCGCCCAAGGGCGGGGGTGGGGCAGGGTGGGCGCTGTCCCCACCCCCTCGGGGGACCAGCAGGGTGTCGTGGGTGTGTCCCCCCCCCCCTTTTCCCGGGGGACTCACGAGGACGTCGAAGGAGTCTCGGTAGAGCTGGCGGTCGCAGTGCAGGCAGTCCCCCCGGCAGTCCCCCCGCGCCCGGGCGAACAGGCAGAGCAGCAGCAGGTCCCAGAGCACGGCCCTCATGGCGGCACCGGCCCCCCCCCGGCAGCGCCTGGACAAAAAAAACGGGAGACAGGGAATTCCCCCCCCGCCCCCGTCACACCGGGATACGGCTCCGTGCGCCGCCGGCACCCCCCCGCTCGCCCCTCGCTTCCCCCCCCCCCCCCCCCCGGCTCGCCCCGTCCAAAATTATCCTCTCGGGGAAGAGGAGCCCCGATTGCTCCCCCCCACCACCACCACCCTCCCCGCCCCCGAAAGGGATCCCAGCTGAGTTTTTTCCAGGTTATCCCATGGCACGAGGCCCGGACGGGGCTTATTTTGGGAGGCGGACGTGGCGGGGCGGCACGTCCCCGGCTGTCCCCGGAGCAGGGCTCGCTCCTTATCCCAGCGCTGCCGGAGCCAGGAGAGGATTGTGTGTGTGTCCCCCCCCGCTTCCAGTTTTCCTTCCTGGGTGTGTTTTTGGGGCGCTGCCATCCCCTAATCCCTGTTTTTTTCCCGGGATCCGGAGCAGCGAAGGCAATTCCCGCGGAACCCGCCGTGCCCCGTCCGGCTGTCACCAGCGTCGGCGACAGGCAGGTGTCATTAGGTGTCAATAAATGACATTAAGTGACCCGACCAGGGCCAATTCCTGGAGGTTTATCCCCTGGAAACGGGAATGTTGGTCCTCCTGACCCCCCCTTTCATCCCGCTGGGAAAAGGGACCCAACATCCCCGTGGCCCTCGGGAGCAGATCCCGGCGCTTCGTGGCACCGGGTTTGTGGCACAACGAGGGGATGAGACGGAGGTGACAGACGGGAAGTTCGGTGCCACCCAGGTCCCTCCGTGCTGGAACAGCACCCAGAAAACCCTAAATCAAACCCCGGGGTGTCGCTCCATCATTCCGGGCTGGTTTTGGGGGGTCGACCGGGAAAAGGTTTTCCATTTATTTCCCGCCCCTCCAAGGACAGTCCCCCCCCTCCTTTTTTCCTTCCAGCACCTTCCCAGCTCCCTGAGTGGCACGAGGGTCACCTTTTGTCCCCGCCAGGGAGCCCGGCAGCTCCCGGTTGTCGTTCGCCGAAGGGTCCGAGGGGAAGCTGATAAGGAGCGGGAATTAAGGCTTTAATCTCCCACCGAGTCATTAAAACCCGGCTGGCGGCTGAGTCAGAGCCTTGGCAGGAAGCTCCCAGGAGAGGGCAAACCCCCTCTGGAAAAACCGCGCAGCCCCTCCACGGGAATTCGGCAGAAGGGGCTGGAAAAGCCACCCCTCACCCCCCCCCTCCCATCATGTCGCCGAGGGGACACCGAGTCCAACGTCCCGGGAAAAGCAGCGGGAAAAGCGGGAAGAGAGAGAGCGGGGGTCACATCTGGCTGCGGAGGAGGCGCCGAGATTAAGGCTCGGCTTTTTCTTCCCGGTTAATTGAAAGATGTTATCGGGAATGCCGTGCCCTGCCAGCATTCCCGGCCGGCCAGGGCTGGGAAAAAGGCAAACAACCCCCTCTCTCTGCGCATCACCGACCCCCCCCCCCTTTCCCCAAAATTAAATCAACCTGTTCTAAGGGAAGGACGAATTTTTTTCCCCCTTGCTCCCCACCTTTGGAAGCCTTGTGAGGGGGTGAAACCCCTTCCTGAGTTTCCCAGCCACAAATCCGTGTGAAAAAGAGGGATGCTTTCCCCCAATTTCCCCCCATTTCCCCCCATTTTCTCCTATTTTCCCCCGTTTCTCCCCACCCCGCCCTTCTTGTATTTTTCCATGGGTTTTTGCGATTTTTTTTTTTGGCGTTTTTCACCGTTTCAAGAATATTTTTCCCCTCTGGGCCCTCTTTCCCGGGGGATGTCCACACACAACCCTCGTGCCCGGGGGGTGCCGCGGACCCCGGGAAGGGATGTCACGGCCGCACCGAGGCCGCTCCTGGGCACGAACCTTCCTCTTTCCTCCCCCAAAAAACCGACCCCATCCACGCCAAGGGGTGTGTCGGGAACCAGCCGCTCCATCCCTGCCGCTCGGGGTTGAATCCTGACGAGTTTGGTTTTTTTTTTCCATCCAGTGGAATTACCCTCATTCATTTTTTTTTGGGGGGGGGAGGGAGATTAAAAAAAAAAAATTAAAAATGAGGTTTATGTGGAAATCCAGCCCTGCGGTTCCGGGGTCTGGTTATCCATCAGGACGAGAGGCTTTTATTTATTGGGATGATGAGGGAGAGACGCTGCCGCGAGAAGGGGGGATTCGGGAAGGGATGTGGGCTGGGAATGACCCGAGGAGAGGAGGTGGAAGGGGAAGCAGGTGCTGCCCGAGATGGGATTTATTCGCTTCATTTGATGCGATCTGGGCCGGGGAGACGCTCCCCGCCTTGTCCCCGGGGATGCTCCAGCCCCTCTTCCCACGGGAGAGGCGAACCGCAGGGATTATCCCGGCGGTGGGATCGCAATCCTTGTTCCCCCAAACCCGGGGGGGGGGGGTGGTTAAAAAGGCAGCGATTTCCCGGTTTTTCCGGGCCGGGATTAATCCCGCCACGTGCGGAGCACATCCCGCAGCTCCTTCGCTTCCCGTGCCCGGAGCGAAAACCAGCCCCGAATAAATCGGATCCTCCTGATTCCCACACCCTGCCCAAAGCCAAGGCCTGATCCAGAGGGCAAGAGGGATGAGGAGACCGGGAAGGATCCAGCCCCCGCCGGGATCCAGCATGGAAGGATTCAAAGCCTTTTCCAGCCCAAAAAAGCACAATATCGTCCGAGAGTGTCCCCCCGCCGGCACCACCAAAACGCCTCCCTGCTCCCCCCCAAATCCTGCTAGCTTCTGGGGAGGATTTTAGGGAGAAACGGAGGGATTTGGGGATGGGGGAGGAGGAGGAGGAGGGGAGGTTTGGCTCCAGCTGCCCGGCGCTGGGTAGGAAAAGCAGCTTCTCCTTTTCCCGGTGCCCCTCAATCAGGTAATTGGCCATAATTGGCCCAAACGAGCGGCCGCCGTGTGACTGTAAACACAGATGCGGGTTTGGAGAGGCTGGGAAAGGCTGCTCGGAGGGGGGAAAAAAAACCTCGGGAAGAACGTTTATTCCCGCATCCCTGCGCCTCAGCCCTTCGTTCCTGCTTTTTTTTTGGGGGGAGGTGGGACACACACAAAGCAACCACAAAAAAATAATCTCATTTTCGCCCCTTATTTTGCGATTTAAGGGGTGAGGGGGAAAGAAAAAGGGATGGCGAGCCGGGCATCTCCCGGAGCACCCCGGGGGTGAGCCCGGTGAAGTCCCGGCTGGAAGAGAAAGGGAGGAGGAATAGGGGGGAATGGGGGGGACAAGAGAAGGATGCAGGGCTCCAGAAAAAAAAATAAAAAAATCCCACCTATCCTAAAGGAAGCCCGCG